CACAGATATCGGTATGTGACTCCCTCACTGGGCTACACCAGAATTCACTTAAACAATACAGTTGTGTTTCTCATATTTGACCTCTGCTGCCATCTAGAGTAAAATCAAGAACCTGCTAAATGCATATTTGTTCTTTTTTCTTCCACATTACAACACTAACCCTACTCAGTGGCTGAATCCTAATCTGATTTAATTTTGTTTTCCATTTCCAGTGATGCCATTGCTGAAATCAGAGCCATTTGTATTGAGGAGATCGGAGTGTGGATGAAGTTGTACAGCGACGCCTTCCTCAACGACAGCTACCTGAAGTACGTCGGCTGGACGATGCACGACAAGGTGAGCTGTCCTGTCACTTTCATAACAGGCCGTCCGTCGTCTTCATTGCCTGAACACAGAGCAGCACGTGAAATATTTGACTTGGTTCTGTCGTGACTACAGCAAGGTGAGGTACGGATAAAATGCCTGACGGCTCTGCAGGGCCTGTTCTACAGCAAAGACCTCAGTCCTAGGCTGGAGCTCTTCACCAGTCGCTTTAAGGTGAGCTGAAAGCTGCACCATTGTTTTTTCTATTAAAAAAAAAAAATCATGTGTTGAGATTCAGATTTTTTTTTTCCTTTTTGGGTTATTCTCATAAACTTTCTACCAATGACAGGACCGCATTGTGTCGATGACTCTTGATAAGGAATATGATGTCGCTGTGCAAGCCGTTAAACTTCTGACCCTTGTCTTACAGTGAGTGACTTTTTCGTTGTTTTTTTTTATTTAAACATGATATCCAACAAAGATCTAACACAATCACAGCTGTGATGTCATATTTTTTGGTAAAAGGGGAAATATTATACAAAAGAATTTTAGTACACATTTGTCCAATGTCCTGCCAGTTTACCATACCTGTCAGAATAGCATACATTACCTTGATTCAAAACACTGTGGGAAAAAAAGCTCTCAAACTATTAAAATATAACCATAAATGTGGCATCATTCAACAGGAGCACTGACGAGGTTCTCACCGCAGAGGACTGTGAGAGCGTTTACCACCTGGTTTACTCGGCACATCGACCCATCGCTGTCTCCGCAGGAGAATTTCTCTTCAAGAAGTGAGAGTTTATCATAAATTTGTAGTTGAAATGATGTTATCTTTGCCTCTGGCTTTTTTAAGGCTCCAAATATTTATGAACTTTGAACAGTGGTTTGTGCTCTGCTCATTAAAGGCTCTTCAGTCACCGTGGTCCAGAGGACGAGGGGTTACCCAGGAAGGGCAGGCAGAGCCTCAACGGCAGCCTCATTAAAACAACTGTATTCTTCTTTTTGGAGAGTGAGGTAACCAAACCAGATCCTCGTGTCCTAAAGTGCATCATCACAACCTCAACCTCAGGAGTTCCCATTCAGTAACGTTTGATGTTTCACAGCTGCATGAGCACGGGGCCTACTTAGTGGACAGTTTGTGGGAGTGTGGGTCAGAGCTGCTGAAGGACTGGGAGACCATGATCAGCCTGTTGCTTGATGAGCCCATGTCGGGGGAGGAAGGTAAAAGAAAGAGGCCCAGATTTAAAACATCTTTAAAAATCTGCTTCTTTCCTCCTCAGTAACTTCACGTGTCTTTGGATTTTCAGCCCTGACCGATGGGCAGGAAACTGCTCTGGTTGAGCTCATGCTCTGTGCCGTCCGTCAGGCGTGTGAGTGCCACCCTCCTGTGGGCAGGGGCACAGGAAAGAGGGTGAGTTACTTCACTGCATAGAAATTGTCACTTTGTTTTCATGGAAGATTTGATGTTTTAACCCATTTGGATTGTTTGGGTGAAGGTCCTGAGTGCCAAAGAGAAAAAAACTCAGCTGGATGATCGCACACGAATCACAGAGATGTTTTCTGTTGCGTTGCCTCTGTTACTGGCAAAGGTGAATACTTTTTGGTCAACTTTTTTTTATAATGTTGTTGCTCTAAAAGGCTGCAGCCTTAACAGCTTTTGTTCTTTTTTGACATAGTACTGTGTGGATATTGACAAGGTGTCCAATTTGCTCCAAATTCCAAAGTACTTTGACCTTGACATCTACACAACTGGACGGTTGGAAAAGGTTGGTCAGTTTTTCTAAGACTAGTTTCACACTGCAGGTGAATGGGGCCCATCTGTGTTCTTTTTTTTAACACAGGCCAAGGTTCTTAATCAGATGCTTATCCATTGAAGGAGCTAGTCAGTGGGGAAAAAAACGAGATGCCAGGCAGTGACAGTAAAGATCGCCAGGCTTCCTCCCCCAGAGGTCTGGCTAAGGGGGACAAGAACACATCATTCTGCACACATTTAAATTTGAATTTGAATAACTGTGCAAAATAATCAGAGTTGAGCCACAGCACCTGCAGTCTGAATGTTGCCTTAGTCGTACAGTTTTAAATTTGCCTAAACTAACGGTGAAATCCATTCATTTCTGCGTTAAGCACCTGGACGCACTGCTGCGGCAGATCTGGGAGGTGGTGGACAAACACACGGACACTGAAGTCCTGGAGGCCTGTTCCACCACCTACCGTTACCTCTGCAACGAGGAGTTCACCATCTACAACCGCGTGGACATCGCCCGCTCCCAGCTACTGGATGAGCTGGTGGACAAGTTCAACAGGCTTCTGGAGGACTTCCTTCAGGAGGTGAGTTCTCTGAGCCGCTCATTTCTAAAGACCGTGTAGAGGATGTTGATAGACTTCAGAGCTCTTTGTTTTCTTGTCCGTCAGGGTGAAGAACCAGACGATGACGACGCCTACCAGGTTTTATCCACGCTTAAGAAAATCACTGCTTTCAACAAGTAAATCTTTTGACTCGACGTACTTCTGACATGACGTCTGTTTATCCACGGTCTTTGTAATGCGATTGTTGTGTTTCACCTTCTCACCACTAGTGCACATGACCTTTCAAAATGGGATCTGTTCGGCAGCAGCTACAGACTCCTCAACACGGGCCTGCAGAACGGAGATATGCCAGAACAGGTGTGTTTTAATACAACAACTTTAATACAACTATTTTCAACTATAGTTGACTTTTATGTTGCCCCGCCCCCACAGATTGTAATCCATGCATTGCAGTGCACACATTACATCGTCCTGTGGCATCTAGCAAAGGTCTCAAGTGGCAGTTCAATAAAGGTATTTATAGATTTATGGTCCTGTTGACTCGGCTGTTTCATCAAGCACAGCTTGCTTTACTTCATTCGACGGACTTGTACTTGGTTTACTTACACAGCTGTTTGTTTTCCTTTGCCTCTCGTCAGGGGGATGTAGTGACCTTGAGGAAACAAATGAGAGCCTACTCTTTAATGTGTCAACGTTACTTAAACAGCATCAGCACCGCAGTCAAGGAGCAGGTACAGTCTGCTGACACAGCTGTTCTTCCAGCCCTCATTAGACAGTGTAGTTGGTTGGTGTAAAAACAGAAGTGGTGTGTGTGTGTGTGTGTGTGTTTTCAGGCCTTCACCATCCTGTGTGATCTGCTCTTGATCTTCAGTCACCAAATCATGTCCTCAGGCCGCGAACAACTGGAGACCCTGGTCTACACACCAGACTCCTCCTTACAGGCTGAGCTGCTCAACTTCATTATTGATCAAGTGTTTATTGATCAGGATGATGACAACAGCACAGGTCGGAGACAGATGCCCTGTAAAACCAAGGCTTGGTTTGTTAAAAATATTTGTAATAAACGTTCCCTGTAAAACCAAGGCTTGGTTTGTTTATATTTGTAATAAACATTTAATACTTGGTACTTTTTTTCAGATGGACACCAGGACGATGAAGCCAGTAAAATCGAGGCTCTGCACAAGAGAAGAAACCTTCTTGCTGCGTATTGCAAACTAATCACCTACAACGTTGTAGAAATGAACACTGGAGCAGATATTTTCAAACAGTACATGAAGGTGTGTGTTAGAAATGTTTGGCGACTACAGAGTCCTCAGTTCTGCACGTCTCATTAACTGCACTTCGTTCTTATTCTTTTCAGTATTACAACGACTACGGAGACATCATCAAAGAAACGATGAGTAAAACACGACAAATCGACAAAATCCAATACGCTAAGACACTCATACTGAGCCTTCAAAGGGTGAGATTGATGCTCGACGTGGTCACATGAGTTCCTCCGACATCGATGGTTGTTGCAGAATGATTGTATTCTGTTGTTTTTGTTTCCTCTGATAGTTATTTAATGACATGATGTCTGAACTGGGCTTCGGTTTCGACCGCTCCTCATCAGCCTTCTGTGGCATTAAAGAACTCGCCCGGCGATTCGCATTGACCTTTGGCCTGGATCAGTTAAAGACGAGAGAGGCAATCGCCATGTTGCACAAGTACGTAACAGGCTGATGAAGGTTAATGAAGTGGGGTTTGCTGAGAAAAACCAAATCTCCTTTTTCATGCCGCCTTATGTCCGTTCCAGGGACGGGATTGAGTTTGCTTTTAAAGATCCAAGTCCTCAGGGAGAGGGTGGTCCTCCGCTTCATCTAGCATTTTTGGACATTTTGAGTGAATTCTCAAGCAAACTGATTCGACAGGACAAGAAAACTGTGTAAGTTAACGCTTCGATGTATATTTGCGACCAGCTCAGAGCTGAAAACAATTTCTTTAAATCTTTCTGAATCATTTCCTTCTTCTGGCCTCTACAGACACCTGTACCTGGAGAGGTTCATGACCTTCCAGATGTCTTTGCAGAGGGAGGACTGCTGGCTCCCTCTCATCTCCTACAGGAACTCCCTTCAGGCTGGTGCAGATGACGACACCATGTCCGTCATCAGTGGGATCAGCAGTCGAGGTTCCACCAGGAGCAAAAAGTCCAAGACAGTCACAGCCAGCAAGAGGAAGCTTCCTGAAGGCAAGCAATACAACATGGTGCTCTCAGCAGAAATTCACTCTAACAATCAATTCCATTTTACACTGAGGGTTCAAAGGTTACGCTACGGCGTACACTCGAGTCAAACGATTCTGCAGTAGTCGCAGATTTAATCATCTTCTCTTTCTTATTTACGTTACTGATAGTGTAATATGTAAATAATGTTGATTTAAACACACGGCGGTGGTCATTGTCTCCAGCAGAAGAGAACAGCTGCAGCAGCAGTGACACAGTGTGGATGAACCGTGAGCACAGCGTGCAGACTCCAGTCATGATGCACTCGCCTCACCTCACCTCCACCGTGCTGCGGGAACCAAAGAAGATGAGGCCCGAGGACGGCTACACGACCCCGTACACCATGCCGACGGATCAGCATCCTCATCGATCACCTGTGCCTCCGCAGCAGCAGCAGCAGCAGCAGCAACTCCACCACCAGGCCACCATTGATTACAAGTAGGAATCTTTCAAACTCTTGCAGACTTAACTTGATTTTTCCTGACAATAAATATTTGTGTATGTGGCTGCTGTTTAGACTGTTTAGACATTACTAAGTCATCCTAACCACTGGCCGTTGTCCTGCAGCACCCAGGTGACGTGGATGTTGACGCAGAGGCAACAAGCCGAGGCCCGTCAGCAGCAGGACAGAGCGAACATGCACTACGCCAAGATGAGGAACCACATGCAGCAGGCCATGTAAGAAACAACACGCCCAGTTCAACGGCTGTCATTCATTGGGCGAAGGTCGTATGTGAAATAGTCTGTGTCTGTGCTCCTCAGTCGAAGAGGCTCTGGACTCATGGAGGATGACGAGGAGCCAATAGTGGAGGACGTGATGATGTCATCAGAGGACATTAACGAGGGCATGGATTTTGACACCATGGATATTGATTTGGTAATTAGTGCTACTCTGTGCTAGAAGGGACTTTAATAATAAATATTGCTAAATTTATTGTTAATTATTATTGCTAAATTTTGTCTCCTTTGTCTAACAATACATTTCAACTTTCTGACTGAGTTTTTGTTTCTGTTTCAGCCTGCATCAAAGAATCGCAGAGAAAGAACTGAACTGAAGCCAGATTACTTTGACTCCTCCATCATGGACGATTCGGTGAGAATGTTTTTTCCTTCCTTCCTGTGTAATAATGTTTAGCTGTTTATATGATATTTGAATATCGTTCAAACCTCATATTTGGTCCAAATGTAGATCCCTCTGTTCCAATGTCTGTAACCTGATGTTAAGATGGAACAACATTGTGTTGACAGCTTATATATACATATATATCGTCGTGCAATATATTGTATTGTATCTCCAGATTCTTGGCAATACACAATTCTACAAGAGAGTGACTTAGCTGTGTGATCAGTGATTTTTTGAATGTCCTTCTATGTTGCCACATTTACTCTGATTACTTTACAGTCACCATAGTTATTTTTAACCTATAACTTATAACTGAGATATAGTGTTTTCCCTCATAATACATTTTTAATGTTTTCATGTTTTTTTTCAGGTTCTGAATGTTTCAATGTACTAAAAAAAGATGAACAGTTTGTCATCAGAATTCTTGGATTCTCTAAGAAAATCACAACTGAGCAAATAAAAAAAAAAAGTTTTGTAAGACACCGATGTTTGCCTCTACAATGTTTTTCAAAGTTGGAAGGAGACCTTGAATTTGGATTCTCTTGGGTATATTTTTTTAAACCCACCACACTTTTGTGACATTTTCAAACATAGGGACATGGTTCTGGTTTTGTTTATTTTTCCCGCTCGAATTCTTCAATGTCAGCGCTAACGTGTGGTGATGCTGTTCAGGAAAGTGCCGGTACAGACATTCATGTCACGAAAGAACGGACTGAGAATCAAAATAATATTCCTGTACCTTTAATCTTATTATACAGTAGACAAGAAATGTCTGGTGTAAATACATAATGGCCAAATATAGGGGTGAGTTGAACACAATTTCATAAACAACACTCCACAGAAATACATTTCTGCAGAATAATGCTACTTTTGAGACAACTGTACAGCAGCTTCATCATTAAATGATTTGCCACAGAGGTGTTCATTTTCCTCAAGAGTCCATTAACAGCCATATTAAAGAAAAAATATATATATATATATATTTACAGGTTCAAATCAACACCTCTCTGATGCAACGCTAAAACATTGCTTTGAAAATCAACAATGGACTTCAGGGTTTTTTGAATTGGACTGCATTATGCTGGAAAGCTGTTAATGAAGTTGTGTTCGGCCTAATGATGTAGTTTTTAACTGTAGACGATCTTTTTTTTTTTTCCGCATGGCATGTAGCCATATATTGAAATATGTCCACAGTAAAGTATAATGTGAACTGGAGTCTCTTACTGTTTAAAGGCCTTGCCATAAACCTTATACGGCATCCTCAGATTTCCTTGTGATGGTATTTTTTAGATGCGCGTGTCCTGCTTTTATACCTTCTAGACGACTTTGATTTATAGACATTTTGTAATGACAATCAAAACGGATGGTTTCTAATCCCATTATTTCACGTAGATGCTGAAATAATCCTTTTTAATGAAATTTAATTATGTTGTTATGAATATGCCCAGATTTTTGTATTTTTCTTTTCACCTTTTAATTAACGGACGGATTGCTTCAAAGTAGTCATTGTATTTTTCTTTTCACCTTTTAATTAGCTTCAAAGTAGTCGTTCGACAAAGTGAGGGTTGCACCTAAAAATATTTTTAATATTGATAGTGTTCACAAAATCTGAATGGTTTTGACACAACCTTAAACATATGGTTTATCCCATGTCATAAATATTTTTCCTAACTTGATATTGTCTAATATAACTCAGAAATGTCACTACTGCAATTTTTAATGAAATTGTAACTTGGCTTAAGGTGGTTATTGGTTTTTCCTTATTTCTTCTTTACAAGCGAGAAGATTTTTTTTTCTCAGAAAGACAATTTGTAGATGTACCACATATGATACATGTGTAAAAGCTATAGGGTTATTACGGATTTAAGAGTTTTAGTAATCTTTAGTAACATCCTGTATAGTACAGAAATTGTATATTATACAGTTGCAAATGTGTAATATATTGTGAACCGGTGCTCATTTTATATTTGCAGCTTTGGTTTGCTTGAAATTTTACTAAAACTTCAAAGAAATATAATTATTCAGACTTACTTTTACTTATTGCAGATATTCATACGGTGCATTTTCTGTTTGTCTTGTGATGGGTTGTTGCAACGTTTTCTTACCTCTGTGTATCGGCCTGGTCGGCATGAAAACTGATTTTAATAATGCTATAGGAAGAGATCGTATTCTTGTTGCAGTTAGAGTCTATGATTATTTTCCATAATCTTACTATATCCAAGAAAAACTGGTGACATGATCAAAAAAACCTTACAATACGTACGTACTAGCTATTCATGTTGGGCAGGTGTGAAAACTATGTTGCCTGTGAATTGACTTTGTCCATTTAAATTTTTTTTTTCCGTTTTGCATTGAACTGCTGACAAAGTGCATACATATGTATGTGTACACATATTTAAATATTTGTCCATATTAAATTTGTGTTTTTATTCTAATCACTGTGTCCACAGTCCATTCGGAGTCGATGTCTGAGATGTAATAATAAACCATCTACACAATATGATTTTTACCAAAGTTGTTGACAGTCCATAATTGACAGCACAAACCTTTATTAGTGACCACTGAGTAAAAATAAAGACAATATAAAACCTCTTGTAAAAAAAAAAGATGATAATCGATACACAATTTCAGCTAATCATACTAAAAACAAATCCCAAAAATAGCAATAAATGTTCACCGACATTTAATGTTTTTGGTGTGATTTGTTTTATATTTCTTCATGTAGTTAAACTGTATGCTGTGTAATTTTAATTGCTAAACTTGGCTGGGTTTATTTGGAAAGGATTTAAACAAACAAACAAACGCATAAATAAATAAATGAAACAGACCATTTAATGTCAAATTATTATTATTTTTATACCAAAATGTTGCAAAACTCTATACACGCAGTAGACGTTAATGTAATGCGGTTTACTCTTAAAACACGGGCAGTTGCAACACGGGAAACCTGCTGCTAAATAGTATTTGTTATTATGATTATTGTAGTATACAGTTAAATGGTAAAACTGTGAATATTTCCTTCAGATACAAACAACGTGGAGCAGCAGAACTACACACAGAACAAAAAGTTCTCGGTTGTAGACAAAGCCTTTGGTGACGCTGCTGCTTAGACTCTCAACGTGCAGGCGAGCGGCGAAACCACCACATTTGACCCTGTGTGCCGTCAACGACTCATCCGGGCTGTGTGGATGAAAGATGGCGACGCTTATCCTCCCCGGTGAATGGTTCAAAAACTGGGAGAAATCGGGAAAACACGAATTGTGAGTTCTTCCGACTGTTTACATCGAGTCATATTGATTCGGTGGTTTTATTGTTTATAACGTTGATGTGAAAACACATGCCGGGCAATTAAAATAAAGGCCAGTGTGTAGAGTGCCTGCTAGGGCTAACATTAGCGGTAGCGTCACTAGCCTTTAGAAACACTCAAAGTGTTACACTTAAACACTTAACCTGCTCTCCTCTTTCAACGCGGTTTTTTAATCAAGGGTACGATTGAATGTGTAATTTTAATTCCGTAATTACATACAACTTTGTTCAACGGAACTCAACATTTTACCGAATACAGTTAGCAGTGCGCATGTAAACACGATGGCCATCGCTGCTAAGCTAACTAGCATCCCTGAAGCTCACTTCTGTTGTACCGATATCGTACTTTTTATCGATAAAACAAACATTGTGACATTTAAAACGTATTTTAATTATTAATATTACATACAGGTCGAATTTTAGGAAAAGCTCGAGGCCTCCAGCTTTAGTCAACAATATTACGGTGGAGAGAACCTTGTTCAAACTAGCCTTTAGCTTAAATGTTAGCGAGACTAGTTGTTTTTTAAGCACCTCCATCAGCATTTTATTATGTTTATAGTTGCAATAACGTTAAGTAGCATGGGTTACTGATGCAAAATAGTGGCGTAGTAGTTAGTAAGTGAATGTCGAGGTAAGTCCAGAGGTGTGTTTGTTGGTTGTTATAGCTCCGGCGATTCATTACCCATCAATTTGATTGTTATAAGCTTATTTTTACCTCCGACTTCAGTTGCATTGGTTATTCATTAAAATGACGGCGACGTCTGTCTATCTCAAGAAGTGCATGGATGAGACACGTTGTCATATGCTTATCATCGCATGTCAATCAATAGAGAAGCAGGATAGAAGAACTACCACCTCAGTCGTCATTGTTTAAACTGGGAAATGCTTGGCATGTTTGTTAGCTTAGTAATTAATATATGATTGTTTTGCTTCATTTGAACCGACACACTTACACAGACGTACAAATGGACACAAAACGCTTGTTTATGATGATAAAGTGAAATTCCAGTATGGTTAAATCACCAACTGTTAAAGTCTTTATGGAAGATTAGAATGATAATGCTGGGTATTACTTGGTATTACATTTATTTGACTAGAGTAAATATACATTTCCGTTCAATTTCACAAAGTACAATTGTTTTGGATTGCATTAATCTCATCCTAATTATCATGTAAATTATAATATCACTTTCCCAAACACACGTGTGTATGTATATATGGAACATGGTGGAACAGGATATCAGAAGTAGAGGTAGTTTAGATGTGTTTCCATCCCACTGATAACATGTGCATTTGTGCATTAAAAACACACACAATTGGATATTATTCATTCTTGAAGGATTCAGAAATGGCTCACCTTAAAAACAACAACAACAAAAAAAATATCACTTTCCCAAACACACGTGTGTATGTATATATGGAACATGGTGGAACAGGATATCAGAAGTAGAGGTAGTTTAGATGTGTTTCCATCCCATTGATAACATGTGTATTTGTGCATTAAAAATACACACAATCGAATATTATTAATTCTTGAAGGATTCAGAAACGGCTCACCTTTAAAACAAAAACAAAAACAAAAAAAAAAACATTGTATGTGCAGTGACCAGGACAGTTGAAAGCCATTTTGATGCATCTGTCAGTTTGGACACATTGAGTTGGTGAAATTTTTCAGAAACAAACAAGATTAAAAAAAGTAATACCTATTTAGGTACATATTACATTTTTGTATTTTTCTTTCTTCTTTTTTACAGTGTACAACTCTGCAAAGACCTGACAGAGAAAAAAGACCATGGAAGTAAGAATAAAGGTAAGTCAACATGGTCTCAGTTTTATGGTTTGCGTTTTATGTCTGCATGTGTGAGAGTTTTGTATTTGTTTGTGATCATGATTTTTTTGCATTAAGTTGGATTATTTGACCAGTCTTTATTGTGTACCACAGATATACAAGCCGCCTTATATGAGCTCTGCTGGCAAGCTGTAAGAGGGACCCTGAAGTTGGACCATGTCTCCAATGTCCTCGGGGACATGATGGTAAAAGTCCTTTCCAAATATTTTACTGCAAATACAAGAATGTGTCCAAGTCTTTATAAGTAGACCTTATTTCATTAATTCTGGATGTATTTTTTTTTTAGTTTCATCGTGTCGGTTTTAACCTACTGCCTTTCTTTTTGCAAACAGGAACTCCGAGATGACATGCCATCAATTTTAGCAGATGTTTTCTGTATCCTAGGTAACTAAGATTATTTTTATGTTACAGATTGACATTAAATAAGTTATACAAACTCTTTGTTGTGATTAGCAAAATTGTAGCTTTTTATGCCACAACTGAAATGTTTCTTTTTTTAATTGTGTGATGCACAGATTTAGAAACGGGGGCACTGGAAGAAAAAAACAAGCGTGATCATTACACAGCGTTGGTGGGAGCATGTATGGTAAGAAATAATCATTTTTAATTTTTTTTTTTTTTTAACAATATTGCCTCATGTTTTTATTTTAGTTGCTTCTAATAATCAAAGTTTAGCCTTTCCAACTTGAATCATTTCTCATCTTCATCGTATGTTTCATTTTAACTGACAAATATTTTTGGTAGTAGGGTAAGGTAGACTACTAGTTTCTAACTCTATTTTTTCCCATTTTAGTTTTTTATTCCAGAGGCCATTCTAAAGGAGAGGCTGGATCCAGAAACCCTGGAGTCTCTGGGTCTTATAAAACAAGCTCTTCAGTTCAATCAGAAGATTGTAAAAATCAAAACCAAGCTCTTGTAAGTGAAAATACTCGTTTCAGTGGAGGTGTTGCCGTTGGCCGTATTGTTTTTCGTAATTATTCACAAACCCATTTTTGCATTATTTTTGCAGTTACAAGCAACAGAAGTTTAATTTGCTGCGGGAGGAGAATGAAGGCTACGCCAAACTAATCACAGAGCTGGGACAGGACCTGTCAAGCAACATAACCAGTCATCTAGTCCTAGAGAGCATCAAGTCACTGATAGGTAATCCCTAAAGGATTTAATGTTTTGACAACAACATCTGTTTTAGTTACTGAGCATTGAGAGCAGAACAAAAATAAATGCTTAAAAATGGAAAAAAAAGGCAACAAAAAATCAAATTACCAGGTTGGACAGTAAAGTAATAGTAGTCTAGAACACGTTTTGCCCCCTGGACATTGTTCACACAAAGGAAGAAAGAGTAACCTGTGTATTTCCTGTTGAATGCCTTGATTTAAAGTAGCTTCAGGATAAATGACATGTTAAGTGTTCCTGCTGTTTTAATCAAACTGTTACTCACAGGCAGTGAGATTTCTGATCTTAGTGTCTGAGCATTTTAACAGAACTGGCAGGATTTGGTGGTTTCTTGTTCATAACAAAATTTTAATTTTTACATCCCCTAGTGTGTGTAGAAACGAGTGTAGCTACCTCGTTTGAAAAGCCTCATTAACCACGTGTTCGTCATCTGTTCTGCAGTAATGTTGTTTTGTTTTGTTTTTTTTTTTTCATTTTACCCACCGTTCTCTCCTGGCAGGATGTTTCAACCTCGATCCCAATCGTGTGTTGGACATAATCCTGGAGGTTTACCAGAGTCGATGTGATCAAGACGAGTTCTTCCTGGCTCTCATCAAATCCTACATGTGTGAGCCGCTCACCCTCTGCCACATCCTGGGCTTCAAATTCAAGTTTTATCAGGTGAGAAGATCAAGTCTGTCTATATAAAAGAAAAACAAAATCAAAACTCTAGATTCTAGTTATTTCACTATTTGCTCAAATAAGGCCAAAGTCCTGATGTCATTTTTCAGTTTTTCTTTCTAACATTGTGTCACCTTGAATATTTTTCATTAGTTTTTTTTAACGTTTGCTTCAACAGGAGCCCAATGAGGAAACCCCAAAGTCACTTTACCACATCGCTGCTGCTCTGCTGAATCACAAACTGATAGAGCTGGAAGATCTTTATGTACATGTAAGGAATCAGACTTTTCCTTTAGGAGACTATTAACAACTATTATATATATGTAATAATATATTTTTTTTTTTCTCCCTTCTGTCAATCCAGCTCATGCCACAGGATGCCGTCATCGTTGAGGAACATAAGCGTGACATCACGGAAGCCAAGCAGATTGCGCGTAAACTGGTCATGGTTGTTTTACCCTCGGAGAAGAATGACGACAAGGAGAAGGAAAAGGAGAAAGAAGAAGACAAGAATGAGAAGGTAGGTGATCTTTTACGCTCTTATATGTTATGTATTTCTGTGTTACATGAAAGTCCTTTATCTGAGTGCTTATCAAGTTATTTAACTTAAATTTTCTATCCAGATTATCTAATGTAGTTTTGTGTGAGGCACTGACTCTCATTTGTTTGGAATTTTAAAACATTGTGTGTTTCAGTATAGAGCTATCCAGATTATCTAATGTAGTTTTGTTTGGAATTTTAAAACGTTGTGTGTTTCAGTATAAAAATGCAGCCATTTACAGGAAGCTATAAAAAAAAAATCTGGTTAATAATAGCCTGCACTGAGACAGAACTATTTTTTTTTTTGTTTTCCAAAATCACTGGGTCGGAAGCAAAGTTGTTCCTTGACAGTTGTGTTCTCTTACTCTTTTCTGTCCATGGTCCATTAAAGGCAGCTGAAGCTGAGAGTTTCTAATGATTGACTCATACGCGGTTCCTTTTTGTTGCACACAGCCGCCTGATAACCAGAAGCTCGGTCTTTTGGAAGCTCTGATCAGAATTGGAGACTGGCATCACGCCCAGAGTATTATGAACCAAATGCCGTCCTTCTATGCTACGTCTCACAAGGCGATCGCACTGGCCCTCTGTCAGCTTGTGCACCTGACTGTGGAACCTCTCTACAGAAGGTGATTGTTTACAGTCTCTTTATGTATTTATAATAAGTAAATATTGTGAAATGTGTGCATAAAAGCCGGCTCTGACACTTTGGTTGATTCCTCACAGGTCCGGTGTCCCAAAAGGTGCCAGAGGATGTGCAGTGACTCCTCTAAAGAACCAACAAGCCCCAAAGCCTGCAGAGAACTTTGACGACCTCCGCAGGGACACGTTCAGCATGTTGTGCTACCTTGGCCCCCACCTCTCTCACGACGCTATTCTTTTTGCCAAAATAGTTCGTCTGGGCAAGGGTTTTATGAAAGAGGTGCGTGAGTGAAACAAACGACCATAACCTGCACTGAAACCTAGACTTAAACTCATCTTTATACTTTGTCTCCTATCTTTTTTTTCTAGTACCAAAGTGAACTCAAATCAGAGAAAATGGTGAGGGGAAAAAAAAAACCTCAAAACATTTCACAGTTTTAATGAGTTTGTGTAACTGTAATGTTCATGCGTTTGAATTCTCTTCACAGGAAACACTTCTGAGTTGTTTCCTCAGCATTGCAGACCAGGTGTTGCTGCCTTCTCTCTCACTCATGGAGTGTAACGCCTGCATGTCAGAGGAGCTGTGGGGCCTCTTCAAACTGTTTCCCTATCAGCACAGGTGAGCTGCAACACACACACACACACACACACTTTAAGTGTATTTCCATTAAAAGTATGTACTACATGTTTTTTTATAAAATAAAAGTATGTACTACATTTTTTAAATTTCCTGTTTTTCCATCCATAATCCATGTGAAACAGTTTTTTATTTTACCTATGGGCGACACAAAATACTCAATTTTACTTGTGGTATAAATGCATTTCTACATTTTTCGTATCATTGTCTCCGCTGCTTAATGGAAGAACATATTTTTAAGTTTTCAGTTGATAATGTGACAAATTAGCGTTCGACTCACACAAATGGACTTCTGCTCATACTCCCTCAGGTACCGTCTGTTTGGTCAGTGGAAGAATGAGACGTATTCCAGTCACCCACTCTTAGTTAAGGTCAAGGCACAGACTGTGGAGAGGGCCAAGTACATAATGAAGTAAGTGTCTTAACAAACCTTCTCTACTTTTGGTTCATTTGTGTCGTAATTACTAGGTTCCTTTTATCTGGTCATTTTATGAAATCTTTCTTTGTTTTTCTTTAATAACCTCCTGATTCAGATTCATTGGAAACAAATGTATATGAGTTTCTGATGTGCTTTTTTTTCTTCTTCTGCACAGGCGGTTGACCAAAGAGAATGTGAAACAATCTGGAAGACAGATTGGCAAACTAAGCCATAGCAATCCCACAATCCTCTTTGATTATGTAAGCAGGACTTGTGTTGTGGTTTTGAACATGACTCGACTTGACTCTAGACTAGCTGGTAATAATTGGCTCCTGTTTGTGCCTGGTTGATGTGCAGATGCTGTCTCAGATCCAGTGGTATGACAACCTCATTGTTCCAGTGGTGGACTCTTTGAAATACCTCACTTCACTCAACTACGACGTCTTGGCCTGTATCCTTCTCAATGCTTCATCAGAGTCATGACATGAATTGTTAATCTGGAATATTCTGAGGTTTGAGGAATATGCTGTACACACAGAGTTGGAAGTCAGTGCGTCGTCCTCTAACAGGAACAGCTGTGGGAGTGTCTCAGCGTCTCATGGCTTCATTTATATTTCTGTGTCGTTAGCTTTAACTCTCTGATCAGATTGCATCATCGAAGCTCTAGCCAATCCGGAGAAGGAGAAGATGAAACACGATGACACCACCATCTCGTCTTGGCTTCAAAGTATGTCACCCAGATGTCATTTCACTGTCACATTACTGTTCTGACAACCTGCTGATTTATTTTTTTAATTTGTTTTTTTTTAATTTCCCATCCTTGTCTTTCAATCAAGGTCTGGCAAGTTTGTGTGGAGCTGTGTTCAGAAAATACCCAATAGAATTGGCCGGACTTCTTCAGTATGTCACCAACCAGCTAAAGGCAGGGAAGAGGTTTGTAGAGTTTGAAGCCAGCTAAAGGCAGGGAAGAGGTTTGTACTGAGGCGCCAATGCCTGTGGCATGGAAGAATTTTTTTTTGTATGTGCAATAGACTGTTAATGATGATGATAATGAATTTTATTTTCCATAATCAAGTGTCCCCGTCTCATAATGAATTTTATTTTCCATAATCAAGCATCCCTGTCTTCCTGTCTCTTCTCTCCCTGCAGTTTTGACTTGCTCATCTTGAAGGAGGTGGTGCAGAAAATGGCTGGCATCGAGATCACAGACGAAATGACCTCAGAGCAGTTGGAGGCCATGACCGGAGGGGAGCAACTCAAAGCCGAGGTACGAAGTTTACAAAAAGAAAAGACCGCGGCTGCACGGTGACTCAGACCGGTGCCGAGTACGAGCTCGACCTCACCTCTGACGCTGTGGGTGTGAATGTGTCCACAGGGAGGCTACTTTGGTCAGATCAGGAACACTAAGAAGTCATCACAGCGGTTGAAGGACGTACTGCTGGACAACGAACTGGCCTTACCTCTGTGTCTGCTCATGGCACAGCAGCGGAATGGTGTGGTTTTCCTCGAGGGTGGAGAAAAGCATCTCAAACTTGTTGGCCATCTTTATGACCAGGTATTAGCTTTTGGCTAGCTTTTTTTTTTCTAACTCTCACCTGTTACAACTGAACCCTAAATATACAAACGTTAAAGTTGTCACACTAGTTGTCAAACCCACTACTATTCGTCCCGCAGTGCCACGACACGTTGGTTCAGTTTGGAGGTTTTCTGGCCTCTAACCTCAGCACAGAGGACTACATCAAACGGGTTCCTTCCATTGACATCCTGTGTAACCAGTTCCACACGCCACACGATGCTGCGTTCTTCCTGTCCCGGCCGATGTATGCACATCAAATTACCGTGAGTACGCTGCCTGCTGAAATGGCCAATAAAATCATATCAGAGTGGAGCTTCAGGTCCGTGCACCAGGAGCCAGTTATGATTCTTCACTAAACAGAATCTGAGCTGCCGCATGTTTACTGTACGAGTAATAAGTATACGTTGCACCAGATTATAAGTCGTATTTCTTTTGAAAAGTTCCTAAGACCATGGAATTTTTCATCCTCTGTGTAGACGGTGCCCCCTTGTGGTTATACATGATAAGGTGTACATTTTAATGTAAAGGTTGTTTTAGAATATAAGTTGCTGAACCAGCTTAAAAAAAACAAAAACATGACTTATAGTGTCTGGAAACAATAAAAAAAAAAAAGACATTCTCTTTTTTTTCCCCCACACAGTCCAAATATGACGAGCTGAAGAAGGCAGACAAAGGAAACCGGCAGCAGAAGGTCCAAAAGTACGTGGCTGCCTGTGAACAGGTGATGGCGCCGGTGCACGAGGCTGTGGTGTCTCTCCACCCTCCCAGGGTTTGGGATGATCTCAGGCCTCAGTTCTACGCCACCTTCTGGTCTCTCACCATGTACGATCTGGCTGTGCCTCACTCCGCCTATGACCGTGAAGTCAACAAACTCAAGGTCCAAATCAAAGCTATTGAAGACAACCAGGAAATAGTGAGTAACACGTCACAGAACCTTGTGTCTTTTCCCTTGTAAAAATCAAGGATTACGCTGTTTTCAGATGACATTTTTGGTAACTATCCAGTAAGGAAATTTGGCTCAGACAGAGGCTAGACACCTGCTAACACTTATTTTTTTTAAATGTATGCTCAAGTTGACATTTCTAAGCTAATATCCTGCAATGAGAAAGTGTTGTGAACATTTAAGGTCATATATATATATATAAAACTGTGTCTTTTTTCAACTTTAGCCGATGAATAAGAAGAAAAAGGAGAAGGAACGCTGCACAGCCCTGCAGGAGAAACTGCAGGAGGAGGAGAAGAAGCAGCTGGAGCACGTACAGAGAGTTCTACACCGCCTCAAACTGGAGAAGGACAACTGGTTGTTAACGAGTGAGTGGTTTTACTGTTGGGGTCGTTAAGTAGTTGATGGACGATGTGTTGTCCCACAAATTATTATAGATCAGTGTTTGTCAAAACTATTTTGACACCAAATTAACCAATAATGTAATGATAATATATCATCTCTGCATCTGGAGGTTAAACTGATTTATTGATTATCGTCCCAGCCCTAGTTAGTAAGCGATACATACTTTTAATTATACAACCATAAAACACATTTCTCACCTTTTTCATGAACAGAATCCACTAAGAATGAGACCATCACAAAGTTCCTGCAGCTCTGTCTGTTCCCTCGCTGCATCTTCTCTTCCATCGACGCCGTGTACTGTGCACGTTTTGTGGAGCTGGTCCACCAACAGAAGACTCCCAACTTCTGCACACTTCTGTGCTATGATAGGGTGAGGCAGATTTTATTTAAAACAAAAAACTTTTAAATTATTTATTGACATTAGTACATAGCAGTTTTTTGATAAACTTCCCTACTTTCCAGGTCTTCTCTGCTATCATTTACACTGTGGCCAGCTGCACAGAAAACGAGTCTCATCGCTACGGACGCTTCCTTTGCTGCATGCTGGAGACGGTGACGCGATGGCACAGTGACCGAGCCATCTACGAGAAGGTTCCCACGACATCACACATAATCACTTGTTTCCTTTTTTTTTAAATCCTATGCTGAGCTTGTAATTTTAAATGCATCCACTCCTTTTGCGGTGGTAGGAGTGTGTCAATTACCCCGGCTTCCTGACCATCTTCAGAGCAACGGGCTTCGATGGAGGAAACAAAGCTGATCAGTTGGACTATGAGAACTTCAGACACGTGGTGCACAAATGGCACTACATGCTAACCAAAGTGAGCGTCTGCATTCTCAAGTTACTGTTTATGTCAAAACTCGGCTCAAGTTTGGATTCATTTACTCATGTTTTTTCTTTTTCTCTCTTTTTTTTCCGGTTTGGTTAAAACCAGGCTTCAGTTCATTGTTTAGAGACGGGGGATTATACGCACATCCGGAACATTCTCATCGTCCTCACCAAGATCCTGCCCTGCTACCCCAAGGTCCTCAACCTGGGTCAGGCACTGGAGTGTCGCGTCCACAAGATCTGCCTCGAGGAGAAGGACAAGAGGCCAGACCTTTATGCCTTAGCAATGGGGTAACACAGCGTTGTGTGCTGTTCAGCTCTCTGTGGAGCATACACTTTACATATGCTAACAGCGTCACTAAACACAAAGACAATGGAGATAACGTCGCCTTAGCTAGTTTTAGCATAATGGTTTTATAGCAGTGGCTGTTTTAGAAGTATTTCAAGCTTTTATGCACGTATATTTATTTATGTATATATGTATATGTGTATATATATATGTATGTATATATATGTATATATATGTATATATATGTATATATATGTATATATATGTATATATATGTATGTGTGTGTATATATATATACGTGTATATATATGTATATATATGTATATATATATGTATATATGTATGTATATATATGTGTATATATGTATATATATATGTATATACATATATATATACATATATATGTATATATATATATATATACATATATATGTATATATATATACATATATATATACATATATATATATGTATATATATGTATATATGTATGTATATGTATTTAGGCAAACAGTTCGAGTTCTATATTTATTGGTTATATTTAGGGTTGAGCATCTTTGGAGAAAATCCCAGACTTGCAAGTCTTGGCTTCAGCACTTAGCTGGTGTGTTTGAGTGTCAGGGTTTTTTTTTTTTTTCATAAGATTCTGTTTCTGCCTTTTGTTAAACCCCTTGTGCATCTTGCAGTTATTCAGGTCGGTTGAAAAGCCAGAAGGTGCACATGGTCCCTGAGAACGAGTTCCACCACAAGGAGCAGCCAGCACGCAGCGCCACTCCTGCCAGCCAACAGAACGGACCGGGCAGCACAGGGAAGCCCGCCACCGGCACGAGCAAGACGGACGAGGGAACGTTGGAGGACGGAGGTGAGAGAAGGGAATAGTTTTAATCAGGGCTCTGCTCAAATGATCTGATTTATTTTATTTTTTTTAATCTGAGTAATCATAATAAATCGTGATTAATAACTTACTGCTCTGCGCTCGGTGAAGCTGGTCTGACGCAAGTCTGTTGGCATTTATTAAACATTTTTATTGTACTAATTTGACCAATTTATTCTGGTGAATACCTTGTGACAGCCTGACTTTTTGTTTTTAAACTTTCATTTCTGCTCGTGTTATTATTCCGAGTTAAGATTATCTTTAATTTTTTTTTGTTGAAACATTCAATTATTCAGGTCCTTGAGAGAAATAACATTTAGACACAAAGGTCTGTCTTTTTGTCCTGAATTAGAGTCCAAAAAAAATGGCTGCTCTTCACACGCCTTACATTCAGGTTTCACATTTATCGTTTGTTTCTGTGCAGATCGTGGAAAGGACAAATCTCAGGGGACCACAAAACCAGTGAACAAAGCCAACAGTGCAGCGGCTAAAGTGACCACCAGCAATGGCAACGGGGCTCTCAATAGGTGGGTGTGTCATTAGTTATAAACCCCGGTGAAACCACAGCAAATATCTCAATAGGTGGGTGTGTCATTAGTTAAGTTATAAAGCCCGGTGAAACCACAGCAAATGTACAAATGACAGGAACAGATCAGCTTTGAAGATTTTAATATAAAAACAATAAAATGAATTTGCCTCTGCAGCACCAAAGTCGGAAAAGAACGGGACGACAAAGACAAGAGTGGGAAAGAGAAAAAGGAGAAAAAGGAAAAGACCCCGGGAAGCACTCCAGAGATGAAAGCTGAGAACCGTCGGGAGAAGCAAAGAGAAGAGAGGGCAGGAAAGGATGAGCGAGTGCTGCGTGAGGGTAAGGAGAAGACCCCCAAGACGGACCGTGAGAAAGCCAAGGTGGAGGAGAAGAGCAGCAAAGACGACAAGGCCAAGGCCGGCAACGGTGAGCCCATGGAGCTGTCCAGGGAGCGTGACGCCATCAAGGAGACCAAGAGCAAGGAGAAGGGAGACAGAGTCGCGGTTGTCGGGTCCCTCAAGTCACCAGCGTTGAGATCGGAGTCGGCAGAGAGGGGTGAGTGTTCGCACGGAAGGAGTGTTTTTTTTTTGTTGACTGGACAAACGGTGGCCGTCAGACTTACATGTTCCCTCCTCCCATTTCTGTTCCTGTAGATCACAAACGACGAAAGCTCGACAGTCACTCTTCTCCGTCCCACTCCTCCACTGTTAAGGTTAGTATGGCTTGAAGGAGGCTGTGCCCGTTTCTTCTCTATCTGCCGGAGCATCCCCTGCCGTTGCACATTCCAGCAGCCTTGAAGATCACCGAGGAGAATTGTCCTTCATGCATGTGTGGCATCTGGAAATCCCAGTCAAATCCCTTGGATTTGGAAAGCATTCCATGGACATCAGAATAATATTTTTTTGCAGCAATGGGAGAAATCTTCCCTAGAGACCTAAAAAGAAAATTTGTATATAGTAAATATTTTCATATTGAAATATTTATTTATTTTCCTATCGTTGAAAGCAATCGGTGTGCCTTGGGAAGGAAGAAAATTTTAAGCACTTCTATATTCTTCGTGGATTTTTTTGTTTTTTGAAGAAAAAAAAAATTTTGATACGTCTTTTTGTTTTTGAGAAGTAAAAAAAAAAAGCCCTCAAGTCTGGAGCGGTTGCCTTTTTCAACAGAAGAGTTATTTTCCAACATTACAAGCGTTGTTCAAGTTAAACCAAGATCTTCCTCATTTATTTTTTTGTGCGCTGAGAAGCTATTTTTGCCCCCGACCTCCCGCCCCCTCCACATTCTTCCGCCGATCCTGCCTTGTTCCTGCATGGATTCCCACAGCCTCTGGCAGCGGAGTCTTCTGCCTGAGAAGTCCCTGTCTACATCAACGCCCTTTATGAATCAGCACGTGAGCTTCCAATCCCAAGATGCGTATCCAGTCGGTCCAGCTGACCACCACTCCCCCCACGACCCCCCCAACTCCATACACTAGTGAAACCACAGCCATCTATCGGCATCAGTCCCACGGGTTCCTGAGAAGCAGTTGTTGAGAATTGCAGCCAGCGCTAGACCAGGACCAGGGGGAAGAGGAAAGATGAAAATGAAAGTCGCATTTATCAATCAGCCAGAGAAGTGGAGGAGATAAAGTCTGACCCATCAGAGCGAGAGCGAGGGAGCCTGAGACGGATGGACAGACAGACGGATGGATGGACGGACGGGTGGAAGAGTGGACGAAGCTTGAATCACCTGGAGCGTTGCCCAAACCCCCTGGAAGCTTGTGATAGGTCTTTATTTTATCCTTCCACCAGAGAAATAGGCTCCAGCTGTCAAACCCATGAACCTGAACTGTAAGTGACAGCAACAGTTATGTATGTAGGAACACACTCCAGCACAGAACTGAGGGATTTGTCTCTCTATCTCACACACACACACACACACACATTTATCATACACAGCACCTGCACTTTAGATGATTGACTGTAGATGTATCAACACCAGCCGCACTGAAATTTCCAACATGTCTGTAGTGGTTTAAAACCATGAAACACAGCCGAGACACTCAGGGTATTTTATATTCGTAGCACATTAACATTCCATTTGTTGACATTTATAAACACTCCTCAATGTAATAACCTTTTGAAAGCCTTAGTCCTTGAAGGTCAGAGGTGACGGGAGACGTACGCTGTCGGTCCAGCCAGCCCTGCCTCCCAAACCTCCCACCTCTTCTTCCAACTCTCTACTGCTGTCTGACAACCTACTCCCAACCCCACCCCCTCCCAGCTCATCTGTCATCTCCATTCATCCCTACAGGACAATAGCAACGAACTCAAGGAGTCTGCGTCCAAGGTTTGAACCCATTCTATTATCTTTTTTTTTTTTTTTTTTTTTTTAATTAATTAATTTTTTTTACTGATGTCTGAAGGTTGTCATTTAGACGGAGCTCCAGGGGATCAGGGATGGGAATTATACCTTAAGTCTGCTTGCTCAAGGATTCTACATAGTGATTCCACCGCATTTGGTTGATGACATCACAGACATGCTCCCTGATGTTGGTCAGATAGTTAACAACAACTTAGATTTCTGACACAGCCTCATTTATCCAATAAAACTCAGAGGCTGCTGCAGGTTCCTAACAATGGCAATTATTATTTTTATTTAATTGTTATTTCATACACATTCAGTGTTGTCAATTTCAAATGTTAAATGTTTGGATACTTTACATGAAAGAGTTGACTTTTTATGTGTATATGTAAGTATGTATGTATGTATATATTTATGTATATATATACACATGTATGTATATACACATATATACACATGTATATGTACGTATGTATATATACATAGGTATGTATGTGTGTATATATATACACATATACACGTGTATATACATATACACACATATGTATGTGTGTATATACAGTATATATATGTATGTGTGTGTGTGTATATATACATGTATATAAATATGTGTGTGTGTATATATACATATATATTTGTGTGTATATATATACACATATATGTATGTGTGTGTATATATGTATATATTTATATATGCACATATATGTATGTGTGGATATATATATATATGTATATTTTCCAAAGGGAACTCCCAAGGGATTAATATAGTTCTTTCCATCTCTATCTATATGTGTATATACATGTATGTATATATATATATATATATACATGTATATACTCAAAATCAAAAATGTCAACCTTCTACAGCAGTGAAAGCTCTTGAGGCTTTATGACAAAAACCAAAAACCAAAAATCAAAACAATGATGTGATGAAACTGAAATATATTTCTGCGTTTCCTGTTCTGTGCACACACTCGTGTCTTGGCAGCATCACATCAACTACAATTCAGTTTCGCGGTCCAAGAGCAGAGAGAGGGAGACGGAGAAGAAAGAGTCAGAGAACGCACGAGGCCGATCCAAAGAGAGGAAGGAAGAAAAAGATCGGAAAGACCGCAAACGAGTCAGTGCGCACTCGCCGGAACTGTTTTTGGGAAAGAAAAAAATCATTCAGAAGTCATTTGTGTTTATTGAATTCACAGTTTGATCATTAATCCTCGTGTTTTCCGTCTTGTTGCAGGACCACGCTGCAGGCGAACGCGAAACCAGCCAAGAATCCAAACGTAGGAAGGAAGAGAACGGAACCAGTAAGTTTTGCATTTGTGAAGTGGAGGAAGTGACGGGTCTTCATCGACTGATCTAATCAATCCAACCTCTACCAACCCCTAGATTCCTCCAAAAACAGCAAGAGCACAAGTCCTTCCTGCGACTCTCCACTTTCTGGCGAGAAAGAGAAGAGCAAACGGTCCAAATCTTCCAGTAAAGAGAAAACACTGAACGTGAAACCGGAGCGAACGTCCACCGGAGGCAAAAAGGTTCAGACTCCCTTCTCTCTGTTAGACTCTGACTTGTTAGAGAAGATTCTTAAGACATGTTGCTGTCTGTCTCACCAGCATATAACCCTAGTGATTGATTTCCATCTTCTGACCTTTCAAAAAAACTGCAACTGATTTTCTTCTCTGTTCTGCTGTGCTGCAGGAGTCCCGTCATGACAAAGAGAAATCTGAGAAGAAGGAGAAGAGGGACAGCAGCGGCGGGAAAGAGGAGAAAAAACAATATCCTTCAAATGTGTAAGAAAAAAAACCTTTTTTTTTAAATGCAGATTGACTATCCTTCAAATGTGTAAGAAAAAAAACATATTTTTTTTATTAATGCAGATTAACTTTTTTTTATGAAATGTTTCAAACGATTTGGCCCTAAAACCTTTCCTTTTATCTTTTTTTAAATGCCATTAGATTTAGCCAACTATGCCCTCTTGTGGACATTTTGGTAAATGCTCACACTTGACATTTTAATGACTTCTTTTCTAATTCCCATTTTTTTAGTCATGTTATCTCCTTCTTGATGAGGTATTGTGGCCTTGTTGTGTTAAGAGTTTCTTCACAGTTTTTGCCTTAACAGTTCTCACTCATAAATCGTCAGACAAGCACAGATAATGTGCCCTGGATTACATCCCCTCAGTAAAGGTGAGATACTTGGATTTTATTTCCTACGTTTTCACGCACGTGTCTTTATTATATTTAAAAAAATCTTCTTTTTCTCTGTTTCAAAGCTGAACTGGAAAAGCTGTGCTTTTATCAGCCATCACCACCGTTTGCGTATGTTTGGTTTTTTTTTTTCTCCCCACTTATGTGTAGAATAAGTCTGCTGCACCATCTCTCCCTTTTTAGCGTACAGATTATGGGCACAACACGCTGCTCTTTTCACACCTTTAATTGTCACAACTATGAATTGTCTGAAGTGGCTCTGGTCTTGGATTCAACATCATATCTTATGCTTGAAATTTTTGTAATGATTTTGTACGTTGTCAGGCGTTTGCTTTTTATTGGATTTAACCCAATTTTCCATATTTGCGTACCTCATTCTTTTGAGAAACATGTTTATTTATCTCCACCTTTTTAATCCATGTAGGCACAAGTGATGGACCATTTGTATATTATGTACAATATTAAAGAGAATAACATGACATTGCCATGTTATTTCCTTTCCCCCCCTTTTTTTGATGTCCCATACAGTCTTTTTGTGATTTTTGTTTTTGTGTTAAATCAGATTTTTACATAATTTATAAATTTAAAAAAACAACTGCCTGTTCAACCTTCACATTTAGAATTGTATAAAAAAAACTTAGGCAAAAAAAAAAAAAACAACACTCTGTGCTCCAAATGCAACTGTTTAAATGACTTTGGAGATTTTATCTGCTGTACTCGATGAGTGTAAGCTTTTTTTTTTTTAAAAAAAAAAGAAAAAAAATTAATAAATAGTTTTCCTAGTGTGTCACTTTAATACTGTCTCTTACCAGTTTGTCTGTTCTTCCACCGCACCGCTGCAAACTCTTGAAGTCATTGGTCAGATCTAGACGTAGAGCAGTGGTTCTCAAACTGTGGTGCACTCTCTAGTGGTAGGTGGGGAAACTTCACATTTTCAATTGAATAAATCTGAAACGAACCATGCACAATTAATACAACATTTAAACATAAACATCTCTCCTGTGTGGTTGACGCTAACAGGGAAGGCCTACGTGCTACAGTCTGTTGTTGGTCATCAGTTTGAGAAGCACTGACGTAGAGGATTACATGACATTGGATTTACGTAAGTCAAAATATAATAACACTGTGATTAGGCAATTGAAACAGACAATTATTTTCATTATTGTTATTTTAGAGTTCAGTACAAATTTGGAAACAAGATACGTTAACTGCACAGAACCATAGCTACCAGAAGACTGTGCTCTTTCTGTACTATTGCAGCACTAAGTCAGTAGGGCCAGTATAAATACAGTCGTTAAGCAGACGCTTTTATCCAAAGCAACTTACAATTTGATACAAATTTAACTTTGTCTTTTCCTAAAGAGCACATTTAGTGTTTCAGTATGAAAAGAATGGATTAAAATCCAAATATTATACTAGTTGTTTTGAAGAAAAAGGTTCCTAAAATTCTAAATTGCAATATTTTCTCTAAACAAAGAATGTACCACTTCAAATGTATCGTTTCAGCCTACATGCTCCGAATATTATATATTTAGAGATTTACAAAAAACTGTAAACTACAATTACAATTGAAAACAATAATGTGCACTGACTTCTACGTCTTGTGACACAGAGATAACATTTTGTAATGTAAAATACAGAGAATAAATGTGAGTACTCACCAACCCATTTGTAGGAAGCAGTGATACTGTAACTTTGAGGAACGCCCTGAAGCTGTTCAACATAAACATAACCAAACAAGTACGTCAGTTATAGCGGCCCTTGTTTTTACAACAATTAGTAATGCACATTATTTCAGTAGATATTAATCTAACGTTCTTCAAATACAAATGAAATGATTACTAATAATTTTTCAGGTAAATAGAAATTAATAGAAAAATGTGTTTCCAAAAAAACTGACTAATTCAGAAAAGATTTTTTTTTTTTAAACATTTTTTTTCAAAATATTTTTCAGATCCAAAGTTGACGTACCAAAAAAGT